GACGCGGAGGTTCTAACGGGGAGGCGGGAACCACTCGGCGTCGCCGCCCCCTTCCTCAGCGGCCGAGCGCCCCCTCACCTGCCCGCCCGGCACCCAGGTGAGCGAAGAGCGAGGAGGACGCCGCTCCTGCCCTTCGCGGCGGGGAAGCGGCTCCTGTCCCTGTGGGCGCTGCCCCATCCGAGCTGAGGGGCTGTGTTTGCCCTGGGGTTTTGCAGCCTTCCCGGGGTGGGGCGAAGGGGGCCGGGATCGTGCAGGCCTTCCCCTCCCGCCGCCAGCTTTGCTTCTGCTTTTTCAGTAAAGGGCGCTAATGCTACCTCTTTCGGCGTGGGCCACCGCTCTGGCACCCCACAGCCTGTGGTGGAGTTGAGGGCACCAGCACCGGTTTTGGAAAGGGGGTTCGGCCCCCTCTGCTGGGGCAGCCCGGCGGCCCGGGGCCCCAGCGGCAGCGGCGGCAGCGGCAGCGGCCGTCGCCTCGTCCCGCCCTGTTCCTCCCCGCTAAACCTCGTTTTGTCGGGGAGTAGCAGGAAGACGTTCCTCGGCTTTGTATTTCTGAGTGGAGCCGTTTAAATCCCTCTCCGTGGCGGCGCAGGAGGTCGCCTCGGTTTAGCTTTGGTTGCCCTGAGATTTTTGTTGTTACCGTGATGCGATTTGTAACTGGTCTGTTTAATCCGTTTCCAACACGTAGGCTTATTCACAAAAAGAAAACCCAAAAAACTATAAACTGGTCCCATGAATTTTGCTGTGGAAAGCACACTTTTTTTTTTTTTCCTTCCTTTTGTTTTCTGCTTTTCTTCTTCTTGCACCGTGTTTTTTAGCACTGGGGAGATTTCAGCTGGAGTAATGTGTCCAGCTTTGCAGGTAATGCTCAAAAAAGAGGAATATAAATAAGCGGAGGAGCCCTAGTGGAGGGAGAAATTACTGACACAGGTATGTCCTCCTATCCTGTAGACAGTTCTCTTGCTTTTCTTTTGGCTTATTTTTAGTGGTATTATTTAAAATATAATCTATCTATAAGTTTATCTGTATATCTAGAATCCGTCTATAAGTGTAAAAAATAATCTATCATCTATCTATAAGTCTATCCTAAAGCAGGTTACAAAATCACAAAATAAGCTTTTTCTAACAATCATGGCAAACTTCCGCTCGCCCCCAAGTCTACCACCCACAGGAAGGAGGAAATAAAATCCTAATGCACTGTGAAGGATTTCAGATTTTGAGACATGCATGGCAACAGTTACAGTGTCTCAGAAAGTTTGCTATTTATGAGGATTCCTTCTGTCCTGGTTCTGCCTTTAAGTCAGGAGGCTTACAGTGTAATTTGTAAGAGTAATTTGGAGGTTTAAGTTTTCTTGCCAGAAGCTGTTAATTATTAACAAAGCCATGTTTTTAGTTGGCTTTTTTTACTTATGATTTTACAAGAATGTAACTCTTGTTATTTTCATTTTTAATGCAGGAAATCAGCTCAAGGAGATGAAGCCTAATAAAGGAAAGACCTGCACTAGGGAGAGAGACTATGTGTACAAATTCAATGCTGGAAATCAACATTTAGTGCTTACTGTGCCTCTCAAATTCCCCGTGCAAGAGAATATTAGTCATTTGCATGGACGTCTAATGCTTCTGCACAATCTGCCATGCTTTATAGAAAATGGTAAGAATTGATTTCTTAAATTAGTGTCATATATTCATGTCCACAAGTGTCTTACAACCTGCGTTAAGAAACCAAAAGATGCGTATTTACTAGAACAGTCTTAAATTTGTTTTTAAAGCAGCAAAACATTAAAGAAAATTGCTGTCAGTACTAGCAAGTAAGGTGCCCAAGTAAAAGGTTTTCAGAAAAACTTAATTTGTATGTTTCCTAGATGATTACTGATACTTCCACTGACATGTTTTGTTGATGGACCATTCTCTTCTTGTTATAATAGACCTGAAGCAATCTCTTAATAAGTTCATAGAAGAGGAAACTATAAAAGATTATGATAGAGAAGCTGAAATGGCTCTGGAAGCAGTGAAATCAGGAAAAGTAGACATAAACCAGCTGGCAGATACTTGGGCTAAAGCTTATAAAGAGGTAAGATTAAGGCTGAAAAGTTAATATGCAGGACTTGCTTTGTGAGAGTGTCTGTGCCCATACAGAACTGGAGTGCAAAAGAACTGGAGGAGTCCTAGCGGAGAGGAAAAAAAGAATGACAGAAACTGCAGCATTTGAGGAAAAGTTTATAGGAACTGAATTTGCTTATCATGGAATATAGAAGAATGTTGTGAAAAATTCCCAAACATACATCTGTTATAAAGAGAATTGAAAGCAAATCATCTGCCTTAACGAACGTCAACAAAATGAAATTAGCTTAACCTGTAAGAAGGAAAAATTCTGTATCGGGTGAGCATGGGAACGTGATAAAGCATTGAAAGAGTTTACAGTCTTCTGTGCTAGTGGTTTCTATGAATAGGTTAGCCTGAGTGCAAGGGTTAGGATTAGATCATTTCTTGACATTTCTAACCTACGCTTCAATATTGATTAATCAGCTGAATCTGGTGGGAATGACTGCAAATGTAAGGAGCGTTTCAGTAAAAGGAGCTTGCAAAACTGGCATCTTTTGGCCATTCTTTGTTCAATAAAAATGGCTTTTCTTAAATCAGTGTTGTTGATCAAATTCTAGTGACATCAGAGGTTAGTCATCCTTTCTAGCAAAACATTTTTGTTTGCACAGCTGGTGTTTTGGGCCCTATCTAAAATTCATCAGTTGCAAATGTTGTAGATATTATTGTTGTTTTCAAGTTGGTGATGGCCGAAAATTAGTAATTCCTCACTGTAGTCAAAACCTTAATGTTCTGTTGTTACTTGCTTTGAAAGAGAGAGAATATAGGAAGGGAGAAAATGTTAAAGCTAAAGCAGAATACAGAAAGCTCAAATTAGGAAATATAGTTCATGTATGTTGAAGGCTGTGCAACAGTGTGCATGCCCAGTTGGCTTTACCCCACCATTATGAGGGATCCTTATATGTTCGAAAAGGTACTATAGACTTTATAATCTCTTATAATTTTTAGACAACATTAGAATATGCAAAACCTGAAGAAACCAGCTGGGATGAAGATTTTGCAGATGTTTATCATGATCTGATACATTCTCCAGCTTCTGAAATGTTGTTAAACCTGGAACACAATTATTTTGTTAGTATCTCAGAATTAATAAGTGAAAGAGATGTGGAATTGAAAAAACTACGGGAAAGGTATTCCTTCTTTTTTTTATTTTTTTTTTTTCTATCTTAGTAAGTAGGGGTGCATGCTACTGGGTGTATATAGCTCGTAGGACAATGAGTGTCAACTTGTATTTGTCTATGTAAGCCCTATTTTAGTTTTATTTTTATCTCTTTAAAATCATACAATACTTAGCCTATATTGTTAGGGTCAGCTATCTTATTCTTCTCAGTCACTAAAAATAATAAAAACTAAGGCCATCAGGGTAACATAAGGTTTGATTTCCATTGTTCTATCCACGTTGTAAGTGGTATAGCAACATAAAGTGCTTAGGATATCTAGAAAATAAAGTATATGTATGTACCATATTTTGCCTTTGTTACAACGTAACTTAAATGAAAAATTGGAAGGTCCATGGGGTGAAAAGATGAGCATAAGACTTGAAACAACTTTAAATCAGAAACTGTTGAATTTGAAATTTAGGAAAGTCTACGTGGGATCCCGAGTTTCCGAATAAGCTGCAGGTGGCTGCTTTGTCCACAAGAGGGAACGCATACAATGCGGAGTTTTTCTTTTGGAGACTAAATAGGTTAAGGAAAATGAATGCACACAAATATAGTATAAATACTAAATACTAGGGAAGCTTGTGAGATGCCAGAGTATTCTAAGTAGGTATGTTTTAGCATTCTAAGTGGCAATATTCCTTTTGAGTTGTCTTTGCTTAAGCTCACATTTTACAATGCGTATCTGTTTATATAGTTTCTTCTAGACAATCTTACTTATCTCTAATTTGGGGATAAATGTTGCCAGTAATGTGTTAGCGAAACTTTTTGCTGCTTATTGACTCTTCTCAAGTATGCATCTAGAAGAAAGAGTACTTAATCCT